AATTAAAATTTCATGTCCCCCATGTGATTTTAATTCCTAGGATTTGAGGAAGAAAAAAAGATAGTGATGAGTCAAAATTACTCCTTCATTTTTTAACCTAAAATAAATGTCTAACAACAACAGACATTTTTGACTTTATACTACTTATTCCCTTTCAATTTTCATGTATATCAAACATTGGAATTGAAATTCCCAGTAATTCTATTCCTGTAAACCAAACACTGGAATTTAAATTCTCACTTTATTCCCAGTAATTCATCTCCCATGAAATTGCAATTCATTTCCCACGTAATTCCCCCTCTCCAACCAAACGCCCTGTAAATTGCATAAACATTAAACTAAGTGTACATCATATATATTTTCATTTATTCTATAATAGGTTCATAATGTTCATAAAAGAAAAGTTTAATATTTATACGGTAATGACTTTATGTGTCTATATATAGATTTATTTTAATATGAGAAATTCTATTTGCAGCACTCAATTTGCTATTTATACCACCCCTTTTAATAGGTATAATAGCTTTATAGGTGGTGCAAATAGAAAAGTGCTATTTGCACCACCATCATTAAATGTGGTCAAATATTAATATACTAGTTTTTTACACGCACTGCGCGATTGGGACAATGCCCAATGTTTTTTTTTTTAAATAAATACTTTAAAGTATATCAATGCAAGATTATATTGAAATTGTTCATGCATAGATAATTGTCAAGATTGATTATAATTGTCAATAAAATAATTGTATAGGTATGGTTGAAACCAAATACGAGATATAAGGGAGAGCAAATAAAAATTATGGCATAAAATATTAAATATATACTAATATTGAAGAGCTAACTGCTCATTGCCAAACAAGAACATAACCTAAGACATTTCTTATTGTAATCAATGGGTAAGTTAACGGTGAACTAACATAAATTAACGAAAAAGATAATATTTAACGGAAAAGTTAACGGATAATCATATTCATTAAGGATAAATTAAGAAATCTTAAGGAAAAATTAAAATCTGAGTCATTCATTTGATTAAAAAATTTGACCACCATTTTTTATACCCATTATAGTAGATATTATTCATTTTTTTAACAATCAAAATATTAATTAAAAAAAAAAAAAATTCATGTCCGCAGCTCAGAGGGTCGCCTTCTAACCGGGGAAGGCAGCCCAGTTGCAAAAAAAAAAAAAAAAAAAAGAATTTTTCGTCACTTTCTCCGGTGAGAAGGCGAGGGGCTGCCTTCTCACCAGAGAAGGTGAGGGGTTCATCTTTAAAAAAAATGTTTCAATTAATTAAATTTTGAATTAAAAAATTATTAATTACACCTCATAAATAAGGTTTGACCAAGGTTGTGCAAATATCAAAATGAACCTCCATTTGGCAATTTACACCACCTATATAACTATTGAATGTTTTCACATTTTACAATTTCAAGATACTTTATACCCACTTTTTGACCAAAGGGTGGGGGAGAATTCGGTTCAATTCCCACAAGTGACGATTCCTTCTGGGCCAGCTTCTGTGTGTCTCGGAGAGAACCGGGTGGACCTAGACCGTGAAACGGACAGAGAAAGACTAGGGCAACACATCAAAAAAAAAAAGTGATGCAAATAACAACACCATTTAATATATATCTCTGTGTGTGTGATTTAAAATATCTCAATTAAAACTTTTTAATATATATTAATTTTAATTGTATAAAAAAAGAAAAAAAAAATGTTAAAAAATGTGCAAAGTGACTCCTAAATGGGAGGTCATGGGTTCAAGTCTTAGTGGGGCAATATTGACTCTTTGTGTTTCATTAGGTTAAGAAAATAGTTATGAATAGATACTACATTGTAACAGAATTAGTACGTAGTACTCAAAAAAATTATGTTAAAAAATATACAAAGAGATAAAATAGAAATGTGTTGGGTGCATGTAGTAACATGCAACATGATTCAGGATATAACTATTACTCTTCTCTCTCTATCACATACACAATCCACAACATTAAAGTTAATCTATCTTCTCTCAAAAGGTTGAAGATTTAACCCTAAGGTCCCGAAAGAGCATTTGGGAGGATGTAAATCACGGTGACTCAATAGTTCAGCGGACAGGACCAAATGCCCGATAGAGCATTTTGGATGGGAGGATGTGACTCAATAGTTCAGCGGACAGAACCAAATGCCCGACAGAGCATTTGGGATGGGAGGATGTAAATCACGGTGACTCAATGGTTCAGCGGACAGGACCAAATGTCAGTGCGCACAAGGAACTGCCCACTTTGGACATAATAATTCCCACACACTGTGGCCGCCGAAGTTCAAACATCGAACCTTGATCTCTTCTCCCAAATACTACCCACTGAACCATTGAACTAAATCCGTGCAGGCTAAAGTTAATTTATCTGATTCAATTGATCACTTTAAAATTTTGTTTCAGTAACAATATACAGAGTGTGCATGCAAATTTGAGAATCTGGAATCCTTGAGGTCATAACCCCTTGTGGCCTTGTGCATAGAGTATATGCAGGTAAGGGTGAAAGCATCGAGATCTTGGAAGTTGGTAGAATATACAGGTAATGGTGAAAAGTTGGGGACTAATTAACAAGAACTATACCATGAATTCAAATCTACCTTATAGCATCACTATCAGTAAATTTTTTGGGGATTTTTAGAATAGTAATGGATGAGGTGGTAGAGAGAAGTTAAGAAATAGAAAAAATCACTCTACAAGAGAGGAGATATTTCAAAGATGTGGAACCCAGAAATGAAAAGAGAACCGTCCTAAGAAATCCGCGCGGCTGTCACCATTGCACCCAATGAGCGCGTGCAGTCAACTGGTCGCGTCAAGCACACCTGTCGGCACGCCTGAAATATATATATATATATATATATATATATATATATATATATATATATATATGTGTGTGTGTGTGTGTGTGTGTGTGTGTGTGTGTGTGATGGATTTAATTAACTCGGGGTGACCCGAATTATTAAACCCGGATAAGAACGCAGTATAGATAATAAATAAATAAATGAAACGATGTCGTAAATGTCGTTGGAGACCATATATCGTATTAAATGCCGTAAATAAGCTATTACAATAGTTTCTTACGACAAAGTGTGTAATAAATGTAGAATGTCCATTAATGAGACAAGGTGGGAGGGTTTTTATACAACCCCCACCCCCCCTAAGGCGGGGGTGGTTGGATCCGCGTTGACCGCGCCTCCCTGACCGGTTCTAGGTCGGCCTCGCTCATGGCCGACCTCTCACGGACGACCTCGCCTCGTGGGCCGAGGTCCCGGGTCTTGCTCCACCTCCACGGGTCAGTATGTTCCACCTCTTCGGGTTGGTTCGCTCCGAGCGTAATATATCCATCAAAGAACCAATAACGCCTCCACTGAGGCTCAAACTCATAATCTTCCAAATGGAAGTCCAACTCGGGTACCATTAGACCACATAGTCCTGGTATTCTTTTTCTTAATTACACTTACAAAAACTTCTCAAAAATTACAAAACATCTTCACTATTATGGATACTATTAGAGATTGACACAATGATTTATGAGATTTTCTTCAGCTTAATATATCAACAAAAAAAAAAAAATTCAAAGAAAAATCACAAGAATTATACAATGATTCATGTCTACTTTAAAAGTAGATCTGAATTCAAAATATACAATTATTAAAATACTAAATGTTCACCATTTCTTTTTTTACAAAATTATAAATATTTAATATATAAATTGTATATTTTGGATCCAGATCGTTATGCTGTGAGCACGTGCCCACCTTGAAAGGTGAGCATGATTCGGTATCCATAATTTCTTCGTGCCCACCTTGAAAGGTGAGCATGATTCGGTATCCATAATTTCTTTATCAATTATGAAATATATATTTTTGAAAGCTACTCACTCTATTATAATGTAGTATATGTTCATAGCTACTTTCTCAACTTATTGAAGTATATATTTTTGAAAGCTAACTTATTGAAGTACAAAGAGCCAATAACGCTCCCACCGAGGGAGGCTCGAAATCACAACCTCTCATATGAGCATCCAACCCGAGTGCCATCTGAGCATAAGATGTTTGGCATCAATTATGAATATATAATTCTCTGATTTGTGAAAACAGAGTTCAACAATTAGAATCTAAAGTCTAAAGTATAAATATAGAGTAAATACCCAAAATGGTCCCTCGACTATAGCTAAATTCATAAATTGGTCCTCAACTTTTAATTTCAACCAATTAAGTCCTTAACTTTGCAATTTTAGCACAATTTGGTCCTTTGTCTATTTGACCGTTTGTTGACTGCGTTTTTTTAGGATATATATGTAATGTAATTTCATGGTCCATCGTCGATTTTTTAAGGTTTCGATTGCATTTTTAGACCGCACTGTTACATTTGAATCCACTGTCGGCGCTGCACCCCATGCCGGAGATATTATAGCTTTTGATAGATAGATCGCCGAAGTCCCTGGAGTGGCTCTTCGAGAAAGCCGTGACTCCAAGCGATGTAAGCAAGCTGAACCGGCTCAGGATCCCCAAGCAGCAAGCTGAGAAGCACTTCCTCTCTTCGAAACGGCACTGTCAACTCCAAGAGCGTTCTCTAAGCTGAACCGGCTCGTGATTCCCAAGCAGCAAGCGGAGAAGCACTTCCCCCTCCGAAACAACGATGTCACCTCCAAGAGCTTTCTCTTGAGCTTTGCACGTGAAACTACGTATATATCCTCAAAGATCGCGGTCAACAAACGGTCAAATAGATGGAGGATCAAATCGTGTCAAAATTATAAAGTTAAGGACTTAATTGGTTGAAATTGAAAGTCGAGGACCAATTTGTGAATTTAGCTATAGTCGAGGGGCCATTTTGGATATTTACTCATAAATATATAACTCATGGGAAAAAATGTTATTTTGTCTTGTATGTATATGTATTGTATGTATCATGTATGTATATGTAGATGTAGATATATATGGGGTGAGATAGAGTCTACAGGGCCTAGCTGATTCACAGGATCACTTCCCAAGCGACACGTTCAGAAGTTGCTGCGGAATGGCGCCACGTGTCGGCGACAGTCCAAACACTCAGCATTTCATTAGGCGTTTTCCCGGGCAAACCAGCACCAGACACTGTCGCTACACTGCCACTGCAAAGATCGATCTGTAACTCCGATCCCATCCCCCCTTCTAGGCTTCTACAATCTAACTTTTCCCCATTTTGTTTCTGCCTTTGATTTCTGGGATATGATATGTTCAACCGACAACCGACAACCAAAAACCTTCATCTCTGCTCCCACCAAAAATGCGCATCTTGGAATATAGTAGAAACCTGGGAAGCAGCAGCCACGAGCCGGTGGTACCCATCACCGTCTTCGTGGCTATTCTGTGCCTCTGTTTAGTCATTGGACATTTGTTAGAAGATAACCGATGGCTCAACGAGTCCATTGCTGCCATCTTCATCGTACTATACTATACATTCATACATCTCATTTATCGTTTAATATCATATCTATCTATTGATTTCTAAGAAAGATAACAACTTTCGTGTTTGTACGATTGTGGGGATAATTAATATGATCTTTTTTGTATTTTGTTATCTTAATCTATATTTTTGTTGCATTGATTAATAAGGGGTTTATTGCGGGGACAGTCATTTTGTTGATTAGCAAGGGGAAAAACTCTCACATACTGAGATTCAATGAAGAGCTGTTCTTTATATATCTGCTCCCACCAATAATATTCAATGCCGGGTATATCTACATATTTTTTTCAGAGCTTTTAATTAATTCCTTTCTAAAAACTATTTATTTATTTATTGGTTCTGCCATTATTTCATGTAGAATAGAATATAAGTTTATATATATATTTCTGTCACCAGGTTCCAGGTCAAGAAGAAACACTTCTTCCAAAATTTCTTAACTATTATGCTGTTTGGAGTTGCTGGGGTTTTCATATCAACAAGCATAATTACTGCAGGTATTATGTTGATTTAATTTGGTCAAGTGGCCTGGGCTTTTCTCTTCTGCTCCCTAGCTTTGTTCTTGTTCTTGATGGTTTACTCTTGTTGTATATATATATATATAGGCAGTTGGTTGCTCTTTTCAATGCTCAATATTGTTGACTTGACTGTTCGAGACTATCTCGGTCTGCTTCATCTTTGCTCTTTTAAGCTTCTTTCAATTCTCACCCACTTTATTGCATCCATCTAAACTAACTTTAATACATTATTTTGTTGATTAAGCTATTGGTGCCATATTTTCGGCAACAGACACCGTTTGTACATTGCAGGCGAGTTAATTGAATTGGCATATGAAGTCGCTTAGTGCTGGTTTGATTCAAAAAAAAAAAAAATATATTGAAAAAAAAAAAAACAAAACGAACTTTTGATTTTGAAAGTTGGTGTGTCGTGTAGGTATTGCATCAAGAGGAGACTCCCCTGCTATATAGCCTTGTGTTTGGAGAGGGTGTAGTCAATGATGCTACATCGGTTGTCCTCTTCAATGCGATTCAAAAGATTGATGTCAATAAACTCGATGGCTGGGCTTTAGCTAGTGTTCTCCTTGATTTTTTGTACCTTTTCTCCACAAGCACTGCTCTCGGAGTTGGTGTAAGTTCGTTTCGTGCTATTTGTATCTTTTACATTCTACTTATCCTTAACGCTTCAACAAACTAACAGTGTTGGATATATATTCTTTACTCGCACTATTATGTGTAGGATTTAGGGTTGCCAGCAATCTTATACTAGGTGATTGTTTTCAATTCATTTCTCACTGCAGGTTGGGCTGTTGACCTCGTTCATTCTAAGGGTTTTGTACTTCGGGAGGTAAATTTTTACTATTTTTGTCATTTTGAAGGCGGACAAGTTTCGGAGTGACAACTAAGGGGTCTTGTTCATTTGTCTGCAGGCATTCCACTGTTCGAGAAATAGCTCTCATGGTTTTAATGGCATATCTATCCTACATGTTGGCCGAGGTAAAAAGCGCACATAGACTTGCATCTCATATATTATGTTGAAATTTTTTTGATGAGTTTGAGTTTCTCTACCTTCGTTTTACCAGTTGTTCAACCTCAGCGGGATTTTAACTGTATTCTTGTGCGGAGTTCTTATGTCTCACTATGCATGGCACAATGTGACCGAAGGTTCAAGAATTACTACCAGGCACGTGCAACCTGGTCCTTAAATACATTTAAAAACATTCTTATATCTCTTGTTAGTAAGACTTTGTGCTTGTTAGTTGTTCATTGAAATGCGTAATCGTGTAAATAATCAACCCCGTAATGCTACTAAACTAAGCATATGTGCTTAGAAAATGAGCGTTTCGAAAATTTCAAAGGATAGTTGATAGTTGATGAGGTGAAAGGCGTTGCTTTGGATTTGGTATTGCAGGCATATGTTCGCAACTCTATCTTTCATTGCAGAAACATTCATATTTGTTTATGTTGGAATGGATGCTCTGGACATTGAGAAGTGGAGAACGAGCAATTTGAGGTGAATTCGATCATCTCCTAAGACAGTTAATTAAATTAATTTTAACATTTGATACATATCCCTTCTTGTATACATTTGGTTCTCCTTACCCTCTAGTAATAATTTGTGTCCATGGTCCGGTTAGTGTTTGGAAGTCGGCAACTGCAAGTGCTATTGTCCTCCTAGTGACACTAGTAGGTCGTGCGGCTTTTGTATTCCCGCTCTCCGCTCTTTCCAACTGCATGAACCGGAACCGAACAAGGTCATCTTCGATAACATTGAAGCACCAGGTTAATATATTTAGTAAAACAAGCTTGTCATAGTCATATATGATGGAAAACTAGCTTAGCTTCTCACTCAAACCTGTCTTTCGATCGAGTTTCTAACCTCTATCTCATCGCTTTTATCTTTGGTTGTCAACTAGGTGATCATTTGTTGGGCCGGGTTGATGAGGGGAGCTGTATCCATTGCTTTGGCATTCAATCAGGTATTCCTTTGTGCTTCTTATTGTAATATAAGACAAAGAAACAAAAGATGATTATGACTTGGCTGACATATATAGTTACGTTTTTTGGTCGATTCAGTTCACATTTTATGGCATCACAGTGGATCCCACCCATGCTACAATGGTCACAATAACAATCATAGTAGTCCTTTTCAGCACAATAGTAAGCAAAAATTTTCCCGAGTTGCAAACCATTTTGTTGGCACAAGTAATAATTAGTTTGACTAAAACCGAGGCTTTGTGGTGCAGGTTTTTGGTTTTTTGACGAAACCACTTGTATGTTACCTGCTTCCTTGTCATCATGGCAGTAACATAGACCAGGAACCAAGCATCTCTAACAACAGTAACCTAGACCGGGAACCGAGCATCTCTAAGGACGATGATGTGAGGCTTCCGTTGCTTTCGTTTGAAGAATCAGCAGCAACCAACATTCTACGCGCAAAGGACAGTTTGTCCATGCTCATCGAGAGACCGGTTTATATTGTGCATTCTTATTGGAGGAGGTTCGATGATGCTTATATGAGACCAATATTTGGTGGGTCACACTGCCAGAGACATGAATCCCCAAGATAGAAGATAGAGTAGGAGGGTATGTAGAAGACAAGACACCACCACCCACCCACCCCAACGTTAAAACTTAGAACAATGTGAGTGGAGATCAGATGCAAGCAATTTTGCCTGCCATTTGTGTTAGCAATTCATACTGATAGTCTTCTCAGCTGAACTCTGTAATATTTTTCAATGGAACTCCCTAAGAGATGACCATTTGGACTTGGGGAAACCCTATTGCTCCTATGTATCATTTTGATTTTAACCTCTCCATACTGAAAATGCACTTTGTCCTATCTTAAGATGCCAAATTGTTATTTTGGCTAAAATCATGAATCACATAATATAAAGCATTACCAGGACTATGTGGTCCAATGGTACCCGGGTTGGACTTCTATTTGGAAGATTATGAGTTCGAGCCTCAGTGGATGAACAGATACTACAATGTAATAGTATAAGTTAGTAACTTTGAACTTTTTCAACAATGAGTCTGTTTGGCTACTTAGAAGTTTATAGCTTATTTTAAGTTACTAATAAATTATAAGCTCTGTATAGTAATGTTTCCAAAATAAGCTCGTAGATTAAAATAAGAGCTTATTTTGGTAAAATAAGCTAGCTTGAACTTTTTTTTTTAATCTTTGTCCTTATTATTTTTAAAAAATGGCATCTTTCTTTACCCTTCCTAATTAAAACATTTTTCTCTTCTCATTTTTTTTGAAAGGAATTTCTTTTTTCTCATTTATTTTTCACCGCAAATATTATTATTATTATTATTATTATTATTATTATTATTATTATTATTATTATTATTATTAGATGAAGGAGATTCGGAACAATATTACTACTTCATTATGGGATGCTAGATCATGATTATGTTAATAGTTTTATTTCAAAATGTTAAATTTTAGAAACCTGGGAAGCTGCAGCCATGAGCCGGTGGTACCCATTATCGTCTTCGTGGCTGGGTCTCTGTTTAGTCATTGGACATTTTTCATTGTACATTTGTTAGAAAATAACTGATGGGTGAACGAGTCCATTGCTGCCATCTTCATGGTACTATACATTCATTCATTTCATTTATCGTTTCATTCCAATAATATCTATCTATCTATTGATTTCTCTTTTTGTGCTAGAAAAGAAAGATAACAACTTTTGTGTTTGTACGATTGTTGGGATAATTAATATGCTTTGTTTGTTGTGTTTTTGTATTTTGTTTGAGGAACTTAATTAATCTTATTATCTTAATCTATTTGGTTGCCCTTTTCTCTCCCCTATTTAATTTTAAGAAAAAAAGATTTTATTTTTTCAATTATAAACTTTATTGGGACAACTTGGATTGTTACAAAAGATTTTATTTTTCAATTATAAACTTTATTGGGACAACTTGGATTGTTACAAAATGAGTCCAATATTATCATTTATACTTATTTCACCTTTTCAACAGACGGTGGAGATTTACTTAATTGTATGACTATGATTATATCTTTAAAATCAATCCTAAACTTCTATACAATCATGAGTTCTATAATATTTTATAAGATTCTATAAATCTTTACCATTCAAAATGTTAAATTTTAATATGTAAAAGTTAATTTTACCAAACACTTTTAAACATAACCAACTAGTTTATCAGTACTTCATTTTTTAACTTCTAACTAATAACTCTTCAAATTTCAGCTACTTTTCAGCTTTTAACTAATCTTGAGGTTATTTCTCAGTTATTTGTGGGTCCCGGCATCCACCTCATCCTCCACCATCTCATTCAATCACAAAAAAAAATCCTTCTCCACATTAGTTTTGAGTTATTTCTCAGTGTTCTATGGACCCACCATTTACCCACTATATTTTAATTATTTCTCTTACCTACTGGGCCCACAAATATACCATACTTTGCAGGAAAAATATTTTTGAAATAACTCCTCCTCACATAAGCTATTAACTTTGGGTGGAGAGAATTCATGTAGAAATAACTCATAAATAACTACTAGTGTGGATGCTCTTAGGAGTTTTATGTTTTTTAATCAAGTTTTAAAATATTTATTTTAGTAGGTAAAAAAAATTAAAAATTCAAAACCACTCAAATATTTTTCAATTAACCACTACAACCTTTTAAACTATTGGAGAATACTGAATACATGAGGAAGAAGAGGAGGGGTGTAGGGTAATCAGCTTTACATTCTTCTTTGAAACTATTCCATCTTTACAGAAGAGAAAATGACATTAAAAAAAGCAGCAACCTAGCTTATACAGATAAACACTCTGGGGGTTCACAGCCACCTAATAAATAAACTTCTAAATCACCCAGAGCACATTTCCAATCCTATCCACCATATTTTACCTTCCTGTTCACAAAATTAAAAACCACTAACATTGCATTTCTTACAAGGGGGAAGCCAGCAAAACGTTTTTCTCCACCGAATATTTGGATGATTAACAGTTAGCATCAGCATCTAGTATCTGCAACCAATGACACATGCGTCAATCTGGGTGACAGAAAACAAGAATAATCTGTGGTGGAGAGATGAAGAGTTAACCTTTTGGCACAAAAAGAATATACTTGTATATAAAGAGAGAGAGAGAGAGAGAGAGAGAGAGAGAGAGAGAGAGAGAGAGAATATGATATTTGTGTTTTGATTGGACAAAAGGTGTTCTAAGCACTTTCATTCAATTGCTCCTTTCACAGTTTTAGTTAATGACAGATTGATTGCAAGATAATTGGATCTTCTCAGTAAGAGTATATTTAATCAATAAGAAATGTTAATACTAATTAACCAATCAAAAAATTTGTGCATAGCAAGCAATTGGTAAACTACACTAACCAATAATATCATTAGCTGTCAAGATCTCTTAGACAGATGATGGCGTGCCAGCATTTCTGGTACACCCAGCGCAGAAATGCTTTCACATCCAAAAAGCTGCTGTAGCTTTGCATCACAATGTATTGCCATTGAGTTAATAGGGTCCTAGAATGTTTAACAGAAGATACAATTAGACTATGAAATAGTTGGAAAATATAGCTCATAGAGAAGATTCATCATTAAACTAATGATCAGGGATCACAAAAGAGCATTTAAGCAGGTTCTCAGCAAAATCTCAAAAATTCAAGACCGCAGCAAAATCATTTTTAAAAAAAACTGTGACTAAATTGTCCTTAACCAGAATATCTCAAACTGAAGCTTAAACTGGGGCTGTAGACTTTCAACAAAGCTCAAGCTTCAGCCTCTTGAGCCTTTTAGGGTCATGATTGTCCACTCTGTGGTTCAGAACACACAAATGTGAGCTTACGGTGATGCATATCACTACATCACATGGTCAGCCCCAAATCAGGTGGACTAGTGGAGACAACATAATAAATGACGTTAATAAGTTATGGACTTATAGCTATTTTTTTAGTATTGCTAATTTGAAATCAAATTTTGTATTAGCGAGATTCAAAGAGTTTGCATAGTCTCTAAGGCATCAGTTCTTGTAGGCTGTATTTGTTTTATGGCATAGGTACTAAGATAAGTCATCTTGCCCCAAAAAGTAGAGATCATAGTATTGATATTACTAGTTAATCTCACTCTAAATTCTACAGTTGGGTATTATGCAGAGTCAGATCACATTTGTACAGCCCTGCTAGTCAGCTAGTCAATTGGTTTTTTCTGCATCAAAGTAATTACTTAGCATTTTCTAATTACTCTATATGTTTGGCGTGAAATTATGTACATACCAGAATAAGCATTCTCTGATTGCCTATATGAAAAACTTCTAGTGGGGACTAAGTTATTAAACAAAGTTATATCTAGGTTAGTAGACTTCAAATCCATGTAGTCATGTACATTTGCAATAATCAAGAAAAGAAGCATATCTTGAGAATAACTATAACTTGGCAACCCACCTCAAGCTGGTTAACCTTTATGTATTCCCAGACCTGCCTTAAGACCTCTGCTTGAGACATTTCCCTTTCACTGGTGCCAAAAAAGTTTGCCAGTGCTTCAGATATTATAACTATTGGGACAGATTCATCAGTTCTACTACCAGTCTCCTCGTCTGTCTTAATTCTTTTAGTATTCTGCAGAATCTGCACTGTGGGCTCTGTAGTGGTCAAAATGCAGGTTTTCACTTTTACATAAGCATTAAGATCACCCAGTAGACAGATGGGTAGGGTGAGAAGAGTGGGGTGCTGCATTCAAAAACAAAACCAAAAAAAAAAATGCAGATCATACCTGAAGGTTCAAGACGAGTAATATGTTTAGCCAACAACTTATTCATCTTGAACATATCAGTGCAGTCTGTCTCAAACACTAAGCGCAGCTCGTCATTGCAAATTATCTTCCTTTTGTTATTTGGATCTTGGAGATTATGCTTCCTTATGTATGCCCATAGCTGCTTAACAATCTGAATAAAATGGACTAGTTAGATGAAGAAGAACAAATGTAGTTAAGAAAATAGTAACAATCTGGAGTGAAAAATATCCTGATATCCAGACCTCAGTCCTTGGCATTTTTGGCTCGCCTACAATGGTCTGTAGTTCAGGAGAAACACCACAGAGTTTGTTTAACCCACCTGGGCCACCTCTCCTCTTTCTTCCAGTTTGAGTACTAAATAGACAGTGGAAGCAAAATTTGTGAAGCAAAACAGCAACTATAAATGCTTGAGAATTACAAAGTTGTAGAGAATAGACAAAGTTGTAGGGAATAAACACAGCAACTATAAAAAAGGCTACATCAAATATCCATTAGATTATAAACTACCACAATAAGGAGAGGACATGTTTCTCATTACCCCCACCCCACCCAAAAAAAAAAAAACCATAAAACCTGAATAAAACACGAAATAGGTAGCTTTCATGCTATTTCTTCTACATGTCTGCACTTAAGCAGGCAAAAAGCTATATGTTTATCAGATGCTTATTAATAGCCAAACAGATATTATGCAAGAAATGAAACTCCACAGAGAAAACAGCAGTCTTTAGATAACATTATCCTGTTTTTAACCTTTAAAAAGAAAATTTTAATGAGGAGCTTATAGCAGCTTACAAAAGAGGTCAGTATATATGAACTTAAAAACTCATAAATTCCATGTATAAAAGTCGTATAACATTGGCCTAGTGTTCTTGTCGTCTGCGATATTTGCTTTTTGTAAATCACAATAAACAGTAAGTTAACAGAAATGAGCTCAGCTTGGAATAGTTAAAGCAATAAAATAGTCCAAAAGAAAAGTAAAAATAGGAAATGATGTACCCACGATGACCTAAGTGCTTGTTGGGTAAGCAAATGCAGGAAAATTGTCCAAGACGCAAAGGAAGTAGTTCTCCACTTTCTCACCAACCGAACAAAAATGTACCGAAAAAAGAAATTCAAAAAGAAAATAGATATGCAGCCCGTCCGTACCTGTCTTTGGGGGGTTCAGGAGCAGGCGCTACTTCATGGGAGGCGGCAGATGAGGGAAAATGCTCACTATTCGAGACTACCATCGGAGGCTGGGGTTGCAGCGGCGGCGGAGGCGGGTGGAGTGGGCGAAACCCGTAATTGTGGGGGAAATGGGCGGCCGCCGCAGCGGCGGCGTATTCGGGAGGGAGCTGGGAAGGATGGATAGGGAGGAAATTGGAGTTGGGATAGAGGGCAAAACGGTCCTTCTGGTGGAAGTGCAACTGCGGATGAGAGTGTACGGCGGGAGGCGGCGGCGGAGGGTGGGGGCGGAGGAAGTGGTGGATCTGAGCCCGGATGAAGTCCATTTTGTGTGAAAGGTCGGATCCGAGATTGAACTGGAGCTTCTGAACGACGCCGTCTAGGCTCAAGGGCTCGCTAGGGTTGGCATCACGCAGGACTGATACCAATGCCTGAGCTATGTCCTCGTCAGACACCATTGCTGCTGCTGCAGCAGCAGCTGCTCCTCCCTCTACACTCATTTCCCAATTCTATAAACTATAACAGAAATTAACGGTCTCTCTGTCTCTCTCTCTCTCTCACTCTCTCTCACTTCTCTCTATATATGTATGTATCTCTATCTGTCTTTATCTCTATCTCTCAAGACTCTCGGCCAGCTCTGATGTCCTGTCGTAATCTATGACTTATATGGAAATTAAAATGACCAAACAGCCCCTGCTAGCAATTTTTATTTCTAAAAAGGAATCATAAATGTTTTCTTTCTTTTATTTAAAAATATCCTTCCAACTTTTCAACCAATTTTTTTTTTTATATACAATTCAGTAATAAAAAACATCCAAATGTATACTATAGTTTCAAAATAGATGCAACTAAGTCCTTTTTTAAAAAATCAACAAAATATATATATATATATATATATATATATATATATTATTAAGTTCAACGGTACATGAACTTAAATATAGAGACAGTAGGATAATGACCATAATTTGAAATATTTATAACAGTCTCCTTTGATCATTATCGACTCATACTCCTGCCTCGTTAAAAATCATGCTAGAAAAATCTTGTGGGAAAAAAATCTAGTTGGAGAAAAGAATACACAAAGTATGTCAAATAATGTGTTACACAGGTTGTCTCGTTAAAAACCTTAGCCTAAGAAAAACTCAGTAAGAGAAAACTTAGCTAAGAGAAAAATAATACAATCATAAGTTTTCAGGGCATGATCTTCAAGATTTTCAGGCATGTATATTCAAGAGTTCCTACATGCCCAGACGTTGTCGCTCCCCCCTGAAGACAACAGTCTTCCAAGCCTACACATTCTAATTTTGTGAACATATTTTTCGAAAATGAATGTAACTAAGGATTTTACCACTCTTATGGAGTTCATGTGGGTAAAAGAAGTTACATGCAATGTGTTTCGTAAGATTTGCCCTTAACATACTCACTATTCATATGTGCAACACATGCAACACTGTCCTCATAGAGGACAACGTGGGCGTCAACTCCGCTGGCTATACCATACGAGCTATGGATATGATGTGTCAGTGACCTCAGTCATATACATTATCGTGATGCCTCATATAAGGCAATGATTTTTGAATGATTAGATGAGGTAGCAAGTAGAGTCTACTTAACATATACCTCCAAGATATATTTGTATCTCCACAAAGGAAAACATAATCAGTTTGTGATTTGACATTATGGGGATCATACATATAGCCAACATTTGAGTAACCAATCAATGAGGTGTCCTAGTTACTTTCAAAATAAAGACCGAGGTCTTTTGTACCCTGAAGATATCTAAGGATGTGATTTACCATCTTCTAATGCCTTCGGGTTAGAGAGGTACTAAATCTAGCCAATATATTTACTACGAAAGCAATATATGGTCTAGTGCAGTTAGCCAGATAGAGTAGAGTGTTGACCAACAATGTCGATAATCCAATAATAATCCTATGAAAAGGATTATTATTTTTCCCGGGAAAAAATTAGAAAATTCTAGGAAAGAAAAACCACAGGGACGAAGGGTTAAAGGGTAGGTTTTTAATATGAGTCGAGCGAAGCACTCTTTTCTTAAAATCTTATTTGCTACATCCCAAAAGTGCTAGGAGCGTTGTAACCTAGGTTTTCCAAGATAAAACGTACGACGGTTCAATGTTTGAGCACTCAAACAAAGGAACCCAGCGAACTAGAGCAATGGAAGAATAATAGTTGGCTAAGAAAGGAGTAGGAGCAGAGTTTCGAGAGAGAAAACACAATAATTCGTTCGTATTGTTGTGTTCATAAAAATCAGCTGCTCTACAATCAACTTTTATAGGAGTTTGTGGTATTAATAGCATTCAATTCGTGGCATTAAACTCTGGTTTAAAATCAAATTGTAACCTTCAAAACTGATCATTTAACCTGAAGATTAGTTTTGGAATTTAAAATTGGAATTAATTCCGTAACATCTTAATTAAGAGACGATACTCCGGAAGAAGACTCTTCCATATATTCCAGAAAAGTTGGCATAACTTATGCTTACAATGCCAGCCAAGTTAAGCCTTTTTAGGCTCATTTTGGAATTTAATTTGCACCCCCCTGTGCGCCGCGAGAGAGAACCTCTATGCTATACAATTCAGTAAGTCTAAGCTCTTGTATAAATGGTGGTGCAAACCCACTCCCCAAACCAATGTGGACAAAGGCTATACTGCCTTTTTCCTTCATTTTCTAAATCAAATGGGTCTTTTTTTAGAATCAATATCTCATTCACCCATTATCCATTTTGAACGTACAATATATTAATTTCTTCGATTTGTCTCACTACGAAGAATCCGAATTCACTTTGACCCGACCTAAATCGGAAGTGGGGCCCACCAATAATTGTACCACAAAATAGCCACTTAAAATGTCATTTTATATTATTTTTTCCAACATAGAGCACCAATAGCACTTAGATATATATATATAGGACTTCATATCGTAGCACATCCTCATCATCGCCTTTAGGCCTAAATGAGTCTTTGTCCACTTCAAGGGATCGAACCATCATCGAAATACTGAGGAGATGTGATTTATCCCTATAAAATTTATACAAAAATTTATTTGTATAATTCAATTGACTGATGTACAAAAATTTTATCAAGAAGATACTTGATCTGTAGGACAAGACAACACTTGATTTTCCTTAAGTTTTTCATTTCGAATTCCAAACATTATTATGTACATTTGTATTAGGTACATAAGTTATGTTTTCTAAGTACATAATCTCATATGACAATGTACATAAACATTAGTCCTCATTAATTTTCATACAATCTGTTTATTACTCAACAATCGATAGCTTTCTAGGTAGAGGGGGTTAGTGGCATGACGAATAAATCCAATTATGCTCTAAAAAGAAATAATACGTTCAAAACTAGTATCCAATCTAATTATATACAATCACACAATATTAGATATAAAGTACAAAAACATTAATCATCATTTTTCATACATTCTTTACTCAAATATTATTCTGTACTAAGTGCATGATTTATGCTCTCTAGGTACATAAACTTAGACTTCAAGGTACATAAAATTTCACTACTCCTCATATGTGGATGAGTGGATCAGACTCTTATTAGTCTATATTAGGTATACAATTTTGTACTCTAGATTCATAAATTCAAACCTCAAAGTACATAAATAATGCAATAGTGCATGAAGATAGACTTCATATCATTCTTAATTAGGTATATATATAATTTATTTATTGTAAATTCATAAATTCATATCTCAAGATACATCGTATATTATGTAAACTATTTATGTATCTTCAAGTATGTTCATATATGTGGTATATGTAAATTTCTAAAATCAAAGCTCAAGGTAGGTAAAGGCACAAGTACATGTTAATTATATGAAATATCACCGATGATATCGTTGATAAGATAGTAAATTACTTTTTAACACTCAAATTTCCATCAAAATTAGACTAACATAGTAACAGAGGATTAAATTTGAAACTACCACCAAAATCAAAGAAAAAATATAATCAAAGTATTAAGTTCCAATGATTAAATTTAAAAATATTATTTAATGGATAATATACTAGGCTAACTAAATGGACTAGCCCAAAAAAACAACGGGATCAAGAAAATCCAAAAGAGAAATTCAGTACGAGACAACGAAGGAATTTTGATGGCCTAGGGATTCCCATTCCTTGGGAAATAGTTAGACCCTCATATATAGGGAGGGGACAAACAATTCTTAATAATAAAAAATATTTATTCTCTCTTTCTCTTCATATTTTTTATATAATCATTATTTTAATCATAGTGTTAGCGCGCCATTGACGGTCTAAAAATCATAGGATCAACATTCTTGATAACTAAATTCGAAATTAATTCACAAAATTAATGTCACCGTCAACGAATTTCTAAGTGGATAAAAATCAGATAAAATTTTTGTTTATTTATTGGCTTGCTTTATTCAAAGAGAGAGATAGTCATGGGCCATATGGAAGACTACTAAGTTAAGACATTGCATTTTAATTGGTGATTGATTTCCTGGTTTTGGTCGAATTATAGGAACAAGTAGGTAAGCGATTTTCAACTAACTCCTACTTTAAAATTATTCTCATAAAAAATTTCATTTTATTTTTTTAAAATGAAGTTCAACATCAATGTGATCTTGCAAACAACTTTAGAATTAACAAATGAATTATAAATTTTTAAGATATGACATTATTAAGGACCATAAACTTGTTATATGCATCAAGAATTTGCTTGTGTCGAGCATATATATATATATATATATATATATATATATATATATATATATATAGCCATATAGGCACAGACTATGATTGAATAACAATTTCTTGTTATTCAGTTCAACCAGATCACTTAATAAGTATAATCAACTTGCACCACTTAATTAAGGCCCTACTATATAATATATATTATTAAGAAAAATCTTACATATGTGTGTGTGGTCTGACTATATTATCAGTTTTGACTTTTAGTTCAAATTGAGATAATGTGTTTAAATTTTTGCACCATCTGATAAAAAGAAACTATGATCTATATGTATCTAAAAATAATAATTCAAAAGGTTTTAATTAATCCTATAAGTTAAAAGCCAAATCCAGATTAATTTTGTCAGCATGAGTCATGCCAGAAAAGCAGAATGTCTAATTTCAGTTTTCTCAAGAAAAAATAGATACTCCATATATCGTTATTGATAATTGATTGCCAAATGCCAAGAGGCAAAGATTACAGAGAGTACGAGTGCTTGTCTTGTCTTACCCTGCCAGGCACCTATTAAGTAGTATAAATTAATGCAAATGATCAAAATTAAAGCCCCTTAATTAGAAGTAATATAATAATTGAGGTAAGAGAGAATATGTTTTTTTTTTTTTTGTTTTAATGTAGTATTCATTCAAACATACTTTCTCAACCTAATGAAACACATAAGAAAGGTCATCTGGTCACAAGGTGCTTAATATAAGAGAGTGATTGGCAGCTCTATCAAATATCAAATATCATGCGGCAGCCTTTTATGTACTTAGAGCATTCACATGAGTGGTTATTATGGAGTTATTGTCAGATGAATTATCTTGGGTGGAGTTAATAATAAATGTGGGGTGGGGTTATTTTAAAAAATATTTGTCCTGCAAATATCAGGATAATGTCAGGAAAAAAAGAAAAAGTAAAAATAAAAAGCTAACAATGGTTGTGCGCATTTGCGCACAGCCCATGGCTACACGGGCGCGCTGACAGCGCGCCTGACGCAACAGGTTTTTATTAATTTTTTTTAAAATTTCTGTTTTTGTTATTTTTTTTTCTCTCCCCTCTCACATTCTCTTTCCTATTCACTCTTACATTATCTCCCAAATCTCTCCAACTGATGCGGATGCTCTTAGCAAGCTTGCTATACACCTAAGCATTAAAGAAAAAAGAAGAAGAAAAAAAAATTGCTTTGGCATGTCATCTCATCTTGCAAAGGCTATCCTTTCAAGGATAAGGATAGCCTAATATGACCGTTAGTTTAGCTGATGTGACACTGACATCATCTCTATCACATAGCGTAATACGATATTTACATGACGACTCATGTATTGTTTTATAAATATTTAAAACTAATTATTTATACTATTAATATATTACATTAACTTGTCTAAAATAAATAATCCCATATTTGATTGCACTAAAATTTGGATACTCAACCTATTGTATAACAAAAGTTATTCACTATCACCTCACTTCACACCTATCTTGTTATTTCAATTTATAATTTTTTTTACAGTTTTAATTTTTGTATTAAAGTAAATGTGACTTAATATTTTTTTTTTTTTGTCGAAGGGAAGGGAAATGAGCCCCACAGACTATTTTCTGCTTAAAATCACTTTGTGCTCCATAGTTTCTCCTGTCTTCTTTCAGAGAGTCTTGCACGTCACTTGGGGGATCCCCAAGTTCGATCCAGTCACGTCACTGTTAGAAATTATGAAATTTTCGACCACCTGAAAGTGATCAAGTTGAAAGTCTTGTTCCGACCACTTTTAGTATCCCAAAAAATTTTTATTGCTATTTTCGACCACTTTTTGATTTCGACTTGATTTAAGATTCGATAAGCCACTTTGTTATGATCTCGGATTCTTAATTAGGAGAGATGGGTGAGCTTCACCTCCCATTCTCTTTGCATCCAAAGTCTACACGCACGTTAGCATTATTACATAAATACTTTTTTTTTGAAAAATATATGGGTGCTTCATTAGAAAAACGCTGATATAATGTCTGGTGGGTGGCTATCCCAATACATAGCAAAATGTTGCTGATAGGCGCATTATTACATAAATACAATTTTATTAATGTTAATATATTTTTAAATAAATTAATAAGTAACATGCATTTTAATACAATTCAAAATAAAAATTGTCCATTGTACTTTTAAACTATTACTAGATCAGAATAAATTAAAGTATTGCAATTTTACTTGTCATTATTAAAATCTTATTAATATACTAGTTTTTTACGCGCATTGCGCGATTGAGATAATGCCCAATATTTTTTTAAATAAGTATTTTAAAGTATATTAATGCAAGATTGTATTGGAATTGTTCATGCATAGATAATTGAATGCTAAATTTGTGTATTTAAATAGGCAATTCTAAGTTTACAAATGCAAGATAATATAGTCAAGATTGATTATAGTTGTCAATAAAATAATTGTATAGGTATGGTTGAAACCAAATACAGGACATAAGGGAGAGAAAATAAAAATTAGGGCATAAATTATTAAATACTCCGTATATACTAATATTGAAGAGCTAACTACTGATTGCCAAACAAGGACATTGCGAGATAGTTTCCCACTTCAATTTGTTGTGTGATTTGAATACTCTTTTTGTCAATAAATCTCCCAAGTAGTTAATATGATTGACTTAATTATATTTTTTATTTTTTAAAAACAATTATTATTATTATTATTATTATTATTATTATTATTATTATTATTATTATTATTATTATTATATCATCATACCCTTAGGTCATTTTACATGTTAATCTAAACAACTAATTTTTTCAAATATCTTTTTACCAACCATTGATATAATTCGCTGGTCAAATTCGCTAATATAATCCGCTAACGCTAACCGCTAACTGCTGATTGTCAAACAAGGATATTGCGAAGTTGTTCTCACTTCAATTTGTTGTGTGATTTGAATAGTCTCTTTGTCAACAAATCCTTCAAGTAATTAATATGATTAGCTTTATTAATTATATATTTTTTAATTTTTTCATGGTATTAATAAAATACTTGGTAAATAAATATATAGCATTATCTTTACATTGGAGAAATATAAAGACAATATAACTAATAAAATTATTTCTCTTAATTAATTTATTAATAATGAATTATTTTTTTAATAAAGACATTGTAGGGACAATGTAGCAAATATAATCAATTGATGAATTTGAATATAAAGAATTTTTATATTGGAGAAAAATAAATACAATATAACTAATGAAATTATTTCTCTTATTTAATTTATTGATAATGAATAATTTTTTTTGAATAAATGCATTGTAGACACATAATTCTAAATTAAAAAATGATATGTATTATTTTTTGTTGTAGCTACTAAATTATTATTTTTAATTAATTTAATAAGTGTAAAATAGAGTACTAATTATGCCAACTTTGATTGGGATGAGGTTCGAACCTAAGACCTTTACATTCTTATTAAAATCAATGAGTAAGTTAACGGTGAACTAACAGAAATTAAGGGAAAAGATAATATTTAACGGAAAAGTTAACTTTGAACAGATACTACAATGTAATAGAGTCAGTAGCATTCAAAAAAAAAAAAAAAAAAAAAAAAAAAAAAAAAAAAACGGAAAAGTTAACAGAAAATCACATTCATTAAGGATAAATTAGGAAATCTTAAGAAAAAATTAAAATCTGATCAACCTGAGCCATTCATTTGATTAAAAAATTTGACCGTCATTTTTTCTACCTATTATAGGCCTAACTCTCTTGGGCTCTTATTAGTATAGTAGAAATTAAAATTCTTTTACATATGAATTTCTTCTAATTTTTGTGAAATTTTTTACTAGATCGAAATAAAATGTTCTACAAGTCCTATTTTAAAATGGTCTTTAATTGTACTTTGCAACAAACATTTTAATAGAAGTATGTGGTAATTAAAGTTACGTTGTAATGGGTAACTTTTGTATATGAGTTGACACGCATGTGAACATTATAATAAAATGATGTGGTAGAGATGACGTTTCAGTGCATGCTAAATTAACGGCCATTAAGCAAAATTAAAATCATACTACATATATAGATCTCAAGTAGGGTACTTTTATCCATACCTAATTATTTGGATTAGTTCACTAATGACAACATTTTTAACCTTTTCGAGCTCAAATTTTGTCAATTCCAAACTTTAATAACATACTCCGTACTATATCAAAATGTAAACATATATTATATATATACCGTTTACTCAATGAATTATCCAAACAAATTGTAGGTGCTGATGTTGTCTCCACCAACATAAAGTGAAAATCATTTCAGTTTTATCCTAACCATTACCTTAATAAACAAATTAAGGATTCTTCAGTGATGAATGGTGATGTAATAATTTGTTAAACGTGCAAAGAAAATCTACGTACTATAATAGTTTCTTTAAGACAACGTCAAATTAAGAGCCGAATTATCTGACAAATATTATATTGCACATTTTAGAGGAATCTTCAAAGTAACTCCAAAAGAATATCATCATCATCATTAACAGTGTTAATTACTGTTTGAAGAGGATTAATTAGTGAGGTGTGTGGTAGGATTGCTAGCTGTGGTTTGTGTTTTAACTATGAGTTCTAGTATATTCACTCCCTAATCTTACTTCCTAAATTTTACTCCCCGATGTGACAGATTCTGATAAGTTATTTTTTTCATGTAGGTCTCAATACAAGTGTCTACATCAATATTGTTGTCTGTGAAAATACAAGTTAGTACAAAATGAGAGTACATGTAGCATGTTCCTTTAACTATTAAAGGATTTGAGTACTACTTAATCGATTGGATGAATTCAGAATTTTTACGTAGAACTATGAAAATAAAAATTATAAAAAAAAAAAAAAAAAAAAAATTCTCAACTTACAGGATGAAGATAACTTATATTCTAGAGTTTCTTTGTTAACACATCTTTTTTTTTTTTTTGTGAGACCATAAGGTGTCCTGAGTATACCCTACTCGGCAAATTATACCGTGTATCAGGGCACACAATGCATTGTGCACCTTGACCCAAAACGACATCGTTTTGGACCTTTTCGCGTGTCTGCTGTTAACTCCTTAAAAAAAATCATGTTTCGAATGTACAGAATTGTATAATAGAATACACAGAATTTTATACCTGAAAATACAGAATTTTATACCTGAAAATACAAAATTTTATAACGGAAAATTCTCATGTTTCGAATGTACAAAATTATATAATAGAATGCACAGAATTTTATACCTAAAAACACAAAATTTTATACCTGAAAACACAGAATTTTATAACTGAAAATTCTCATGTTTCGGATGTACAGAATTATATAATAGAATACACAGAATTTTATACCTGAAAATTCTCATTGCTATGTGCGCCCTGGTGCACGATATAAAGATTGTACCTACTCAGACTAATCCCTATTCGCATCAGGCCAGCTCAATTAAGGAGCAAAGTGTTAACCATATTGATTTTTCTATACGAAATAGGGTTTGAAATTCCGAGAGTGTACAGTCACTCACGCCAACCAAACTGGTTTGTTAACACATCTTTTAATATCTAAATTAAACTAGCTTGGTAGAATCCATGCAATTTGAAATGTGGCGTATGTTTAATAGTAATAATGAGATTTTGGCAATTTGAAATGGTCATCAATGATTTTATTCCACATAAAAGCTATAGGTGATGGAAGCTAATTAAGAGAGAGAGAGAGATGGATGTTCCCTAGAATTTGTGGTCAGCCTGCCTGCATGCATATATATACATATATATGTTCCACTGCCCTGCATGCCCTTTTATCCCTTCATTCTTAATTATTAATTAATTCTACCAATTCAACTAATTAACTCCGATACATCCATCCGATCCATCTCTAATCCTAGCTCTTCCATTATCCATCAGATCAGATCCCACATTTATATATATCTGATCTGTAGCTAATATAAATTAAAGAAGCTAGCTAATTAAGCTAGGTTTGGAGATCGATCGATGAGATCTGCAGATTAGAATAGAATGGAGTCTGGGGAGAAGAAGAAGGCGGCGGAGGAGATGGACAATGACTCTGATTGTGGGAGTGGGAGGATGAGTAGGCCTCCCAGTGAAGTTTCCTTGTGCCCCACCGAGGATGAAGAAGAGTTCACTCCCATGGGTCCTAAATGCAGCATTAAAGAACATCTTGAAAAGGACAAGGCCAGTCTTTTCTTTCATCATCATATATCATCTTTTCTTTTCTCTCTCTCTCTCTATATATATAATGGTGGTGGGTGTTTATGTGTAGGATGATGAGAGCTTGAGGAGGTGGAAAGAACAGCTTCTTGGGAGCGTTGATGTCACTGCTGCAGGTATATTAATTATTAGTCAGTGTTGCAAAAATCGCTCCTAGGCCTTAGACGGTCAGCCTCATCGCGCTTAGGTCCTAGGCGGTTAGCCTCCTAGGCGCCTTAGGCCCGGCCTAGGCGGTCAGCCTCATCGTGCCCAGGCCCTAGGCGGTCAGCCTCCTAGGCGCTCTAGAAGCCCTAGGTGGTCCCAGGCGCGTAGCGATTTTTTCAACATTGTTATTAGTATATATATCTGAGATTGGATTTGAATTTGTTATATATATATGTACAGAAGCTCAAGAACCAGATGTGAAGATCTTGAGCCTGACCATCATTTCTGCTGAAAGAGCTGATATAGTTCTTCAAATGCCGGAGTCTGGAAGTCCCAAAGGATTGTGGTTTACGTTGAAAGAAGGAAGCAAATACCGGCTGAGATTTGAGATCAAGGTTAGCAATGAGATTGTCTGTGGCTTAAGGTACATCAACACCGTTTGGAAAACCGGCCTCAAAGGTACGTAAATTTCACACTCGTCTGAGACAGTCTCATATAAGCCGGACTTATATATATATATATATATATATATATATATATATATATATATATATATATATATACTTGAGGAAATAAATGTTTTGGGGTGAAATATAATTAAGTAATGTTTGTATCAGTTGATGGATCAAAGGAGATGTTGGGAACATTTAGTCCTCAAGCAGAGCCCTACACTCATGAGATGCCAGAAGAGACCACTCCCTCTGGCATGTTTGCAAGAGGAACATATTCAGCAAGAACTAAGGTATATATGTAGTAATATAATCTCTCATGTTTTTTTTTTTTTTTTTTTTTTTTTTTTTTTTTATAATTAATTCACCACCAGATCTGATAATTGTCTGTTTCTTTATAGTTTATTGATGATGACAAGAAGTGCTATTTGGATATCAACTACACATTTGACATTCAGAAAGACTGGGCAGCAACCTCATAGAAGCTGGATCTGATCATGCATCCTGATGATTATATATAATCTGTCAGTTCAATCAAAGTATCAATTATTTTATTTTATTTTTATATATAAAAAAAATCAATTATTCAATCTTGATTTTGGAGAAGAAAAGGAGGATTAATGGAGAGTTTTGGAGAACGTAGTCTAGTATATATGTAATCGCATGATTTTAGAATGCAAACAAACATTTGGCTGTTTTCTCTCTCTTTGCATGACTAATGATATGCTAGAGAATGCATGGAAGATGACTTATTTATTTATTTTAAGTTTTTTTCCACATTTTTATTCTAATAATGTTCTAGACAAACAAAAAGAGCGAATACCAATTTTGGTCCCACGAGTATTAGCAAAATGACAGTTTTGGTCCACATGTTTAATTCCTATCAATTTTCATCCACGACTATTGTTTTAGTACCAATTTTCATCCATCCACAACTATTGTTTTAGTGTCAAAATTTGCCAAAATTCATCACGCTGGTCACCCATTCATTTAAGACATGCCGGAATATGAAATTATTTAGAGTAGTCTCGTGCTTTTCAAATTAAGATTCATATTTGAGCATGAATAAAGGGATTTAAGCCTTAAGATCTATCCCAATTCGCAGTTTTCCTCCTCAAATTAATGTAGGGTGAGGAGGAGAACTGCGAATTGGGATCCATCTTTGGGCTTAAATTCATTATTATTTATGCTCAAATTGGAATATTAAGTTGAAAATGACAAAAATGCCTTTAAAATTTTTAGATTTTGGGATGTTTTAAATAAATGAGTGACCGACGTGATGAATTTTGGTACTAAAATAATAGTTGTGGATTAAAATTGGTACAAAAATAATAGTCGTGGATGATTGGTAAGAATTAAACATGTGGACTTAAACCGTCATTTTACTAATACTCGTGGGACTAAAATTGGTATTTGCTTCAAACAAAAACCACAGTAATTTGAATGAAATTAGATACGTAGGGTATAAAAGTACCAAACCAAACACCAAACACCGCTCTAGAAATGATGACTTCAATTCTACTCCTATTAAGATTTTAATTTTAAACAAGCTCGAACTTTTTTTTTTTTGTCAGACCATAATGTGTCTTGAACATGTTATAACTGTAGAAAGCACATTTAAGCCTCATACTTAATTTTTAAAAAGAATAAATACACTATTTGTTCGCGTATAATAAGGACAAAAACATCAAGTCAGTAACACAATATGGAAGAGAGATGCTAGCTCGATCGTTACCCTACTAATAAAGCCAAATTAAGATTGATTGCTAGTTAAATCAAAATGCACGCCGAGTGCACAATAAAATGCACCGTATCCATTTAAGACACATATGCACAATAGTACACTTAAATATAACCAGAAACTCCTAACCCCTAACCACCCAGGAAAATGATATATGTACTCCTATGAAGTATAAACTCCCGTCACGTGTACCAATAAATTCAAGTAAATGAAAAAAATAATGGCCCACTTTGTTATTTAAACCAATCAAATAATGACACTTCAACATGGAGTACAAAATGGGAGTACATGTAATATTACTCACCACCCACCCCAAATGAACAATTTTAAGTTAACTAAATATAATAATGGGAAAATGACAAATTTGGTCCTTAGGTTATAATGGTAGTGATGACTCAGTCCATGAGTTATGATCGTATCTATTTTTAGTTCTTCAGTTATGAGCGAAGTGACGCATTTGGTCCTTGATCGTTAAAGATGAAAAATTAAAAAATATTTAAAATTTTAAGAGTAAAGTAGGAAATTCACATTTTATTCATTTTCTTATATTGAAACCATTTTTGCAACATTATTTTCAACTTCCTAGTATTCTATTTCAAGGTTTTTCAATTCCAAAAGCAATTCAAAAACCTTCGTATGACTTGTTAGTAACTTGAGTCTCATATAAGGAATATGTAACTCAGTATAAACGAGAGAACACTTGATCATTATTGTCTTCAAGCATGTAAAACAAACCATCCTAGAAGTTTTGAATTTCCCTTCCATAATGATAATCAAACCATAACTACTTTTGAAATATAGCAATATATCAAATTTCTCAGGTTATTTTTATAACAAATTCACCAAGGGAGTAACTTGAGATTTTAAAAATCAGAGTAATGAATGAGGAACATAAGACTCAGTTATGAAAATTCTAAAAACTTTTGTAACTTCTAAAAACGATTAAAAACTTTTGTAACTTCTAAAAACGATTATTGACTAAACTACTACATATATAAAAAATAAAAAAAAAAATTACATACTAAAAATATCAAGTTATTCCGTTGGTGAATTTCTCATAAAATCAACCTAAGAAATTTGACATCATTTTGTATCTCAAAAGTTCGGGCTTGATTACCTTTGTTGCTTATTAAAGAAAAATGAAATTTGATAGCTAAGATAGTGTGTTTCACACGTCTGAAGACAATAATAAGTGTTTCTTTGTTTGTGCTAAGTCTTAAGTTTGCTATACGAGAGTCATGTTCCTAACAAGACACCAAGACATACTAAAGTTAAGAAGAGAAAAATAATGTTGTGAAAGTGATTTTGATATAATTAAGAAGGATAATAAAATGTGAATTTCCTACTTTACCCCTCAAATTTTAAATATTTTTTAATTTTTTCATTAGTTTTAGCGGTCAGGGACCAAATGTGCCACTTTGTTTATACTAGGGGATTAGAAATGGATACTGTCACAACTCAGGGACTGAATCAGAACTTGGGTATAATTCAAGGACTAAAGATGCAATTTTCCCTATAATAATTATAGGTGAAACAAGATGTTGAATAGAAGTCAAGACCTTGTGGGCTAATGGCACTCGGGTTGAATTCCTATATGGGAGGTTGTGAGTTTGAGCCTCAGTGGCAGTGTTATAGGCTCTTTATGATTTTGAACAAATACTACATTGAAATAGAGTTAGCAGCATTCTTTTTTACAAATATATATAAAGTTCTTCATCAAAATATACAATTTACCTACTAAATGTTCATCATTTACGTACAGACTAAATGTTCACAATTTACCTACTAAATATGAACATCAATATGGCCCTGTTTGGTAAAATAGCTGTTAGATGTTAGCTGATTGTGTTAATTAGTAGGTATAAATAGTTGATAACATTAGCTGATTGTAGAAAAGTGTTTGGTAAATTAGCTGTTAGCTGATAGCTGTTTGGTATAATTTCTTTTCTCAAAAAGCTAATTGAAAAAGTTGCTTGGAGTAGCTTCTTGAATTTTAGCCTTTTGGAGTTGCAAAAAGCTAATTAACCAAACATTTATATTGATATTTTAACTAAATCAAACAATTAATAGTAGTTAAATAAGCCAAAATTAACCTATAGGCTAATTTTTTACCAAACATGACCTATATAAATTATGTATTTTGGACTTGAGTTCATTTTGTAAAATGGACCCAAATCCATGGTATAACTGCTCATATTTGGGTATAAGTTAAGAATTAAATACAAAGATGGCTATGCAATTATTTTTTTTTTTGAGATGGCTATGCAAATTTTTTTTTTTATTTTTTGAGATGGCTATGCAGTCTATGCTATACCCGGAACGTTATGCTGTGGAATCGTGCCCACCTTGTAAGGTGAGCACGGTTCTATATCTATAATTTTTATACTGTAGATTCATAATTTCTATACTGTAAATTCATAAAATCTATACTTTAGATTCATAATTTTTAAACCGTAGATTCATAATTTAAATACAGTAAATTCATAATTTCTATACAGTAAATTCATAATTTCTATACTGCATATTCATAATATCTGTACTGTAGACTCATAATTTATAAACTTTATAGTTATCAAATTATGAACATATAATTATGTGATTTATGAAAACAAAGTTCAACAATTGAGAATATGAATATATAGCTCTATAATTATGAAGATGTATTTATAAAATTATGAATATATAACTTTATAATTATGAATCTATAATATAAAAATTATGAATTTACATTATAAAAATTATGTATATAAAACCGTGCACACCTTGGCGTATCCGAGGCATAATTTGCCGCTATACCCCGACCCCTCACTTATAATCTGGAATGATGGACTAAAAGGCAATATTTCTCTTTATATTTATAGAGAAAATTAAAGAAGATGGAGCCGGAGATCCACAACTTCATCTGCATCTGGATTTCTGCCATTGCATCTTCTTGCTACTGTTATTTCATACCCAAACACATCCCTAGCGGCGGCGCTCGTCTTCTCTCCCTCTTCCCCGTCATCCTCCTCTTTATCGCCCTCCCTTCCCGCCTCACCGTCTTCCACCTCGCCGCCCCCACCATCTTCTACCTTGTTTGGCTCGCCAACTTCAAACTCCTCCTCTTCGCCTTCGACCATGGCCCTTTGTCAGGCCATCACCCTCCGTTGCCTCTCCTCCATTTCGTCGTTATCTCTCTTCTCCCCATCAAACTCTCCCAGGTCAACGATTCTTCTTCACAGTCGGATTCAGATCCCAGGAACCCATCGTTCTTATTTGCTGTAAAAGCCCTTCTGCTGCCTTTAATCGTGTGGCTTTACAAGTTTAGGCAATATTTTAATCAAAACGTGGTCTTGGTTATTTACTGCTGCCATATCTATCTAGGGGTTGAGCTGGTGCTGTTTATCACGGCGGCTCCGATTCGATCCCTTCTTGGACTGGAACTCGAGCCGCAGTTCAAGGAGCCTTACTTAGCCACCTCGCTCCAAGACTTCTGGGGCCGCCGGTGGAACCTAATGGTCCCCAAAATTCTCCGGCCCACGGTGTACTTCCCGGTGCGGAGCGTATCGGCGAAGATTCTGGGGAAGGAGTGGGCAAATCCGGCGGCGATTGTCGCGTCGTTCTTAGTGTCCGGTCTTATGCACGAGCTGATATACTATTATCTTAGTCGGGCCAGGCCCACGTGGGAGGTCACGTGGTTCTTTCTCCTACATGGGGTTTGTGTCGCGGCTGAGGTGATTGTGAAGAAGAAGGTCTTGGTCGGCGGTTGGCGGCTGAACAGGGCGTTTTCCGGCCCGCTGACTTTGGGCTTCGTGGCGGTGACCGGTAGCATGCTCTTCTTCCCGCAGATACTCAGAAATGGTTTAGACGTCAAGATCATAGATGAGTCCAACATGTTGGCACGTTTTGTAGGAGACCATCTTCGAGTTTAAGACTTTAAGGCCGGGGATCAAGATCTTATTGAAGTATGTAACATGGTCCTTTCCCAAACATTATTGTGTGGACCATGGTCCACAGAAGTTGTGTGGATCATATTTTATCTACTGTAAAATAATGTACATTCAGTATAAAAATAATGTACATTGTATTTAGGTATATTATTTTTGTTCTGAGTGTACATTATATTGTATAATATACATTTAATACCAAAATAATGTACATTTAGTATATTAAAAATGTATTTTTTGTTATGATCCACATATCATTGTGTGGATCATGATCCACACAATAATTTGCCGTCCTTTCCTATTATATTCTACTAATATTGTTTTTATTTTAATTTTAATATGCTTTCACTTTTCTTTTCTTTCTTTTTTTTAACAAAAAAAATTAGGTGCCGACGTTTCTGGTTTTGATTAAAAAAAAAAAATCATTCAATTTAATAGTAGAGTTTGATTCAGTTTAAAACAACTTGATTTTGGTTCGGATTTAATTCGGTTGTATTTTCAATTTGGATTTAATGCAGATTGGATTGAAAAAGACCATAGCATTATGAAAAAGGGTATAATAATAAACTAAAGTCAAAATATAATTGTCTCATTCAGTTTTAAACGAAAATTGTAATTGTTCCATTAAATAAGTTGTAATTTTGTTCGAACCCCAAGAACAAATACAGATTTGAGCCTCAAAGACGCCCAAAGGGCTTCGAACCAGCGACCTCTACATGAAATTGACGTTTCTGGTTTTCTTGGGATGGTATTCTTTTTTTTTTTTTTTTTTTTTTTTTTTTTTTTTTTTTTCATTTTTTCTTTTCTTTGAATCCCTTGGGATGCTATTTAATCAAGATTTTTAGAGAAAGAGATGAGATTTTCTTAAAAGGTTGATTGTCCCACTCTATTTATCTAGGAACGTTATGCTGTGGAATCGTATCCATCTTGTAAGGTGAGCACGATTTTATATCCATAATTTTTATACTGTAAATTCATAATTCTTATACTGTACATTCATAATTTCTATATTGTAAATTCATAAAATCTATACTTTAGATTCATAATTTAAATACAGTAGATTCATAATTTCTATACTGCAGATTCATAATATCTGTACTGTAGATTCATAATTTCTATATTGTAGATTCATAATTTATAAACTGTATAGTTATCAAATTATGAACATATAGTTCTGTGATTTGTGAAAACAGAGTTCAACAATTGGGAATATAAACATTGAAAATTATGAACATATAGCTCTATAATTATGAACATATATTTATAAAATTATGAATATATAGCTCTATAGCTCTATAATTATGAATTTACAGCATAAAAATTAGGAATAAGGTTCAAATTAGCCACTGAACGTAACTTGAAAATGCAATTAGGCCACTGAACGAAAAAAAAGTGCAATTAGGCCACTGAACACTCCAAATGCATGCAATTTCACCTGATAGCAGGTTACCATCAATTTTAGCAGGTTACCTGCTTACATGGCAGTTGAGTTGGCATTTTTAAATAATTTTTAATAATAAATTTTTTATAAAATTAAAAAAATATATGGTAATCAAGTAAAATTTAAAATTTATTATTAAAATTTATTTTAAAAAAATTAAAATTTATTATTAAATTTACTTTAAAATTTATTAAAAATTATTTAAAATTTATAAAAAATGTCAACTCAGCTGCCACGTAAGCAGGTAACCTGCTAAAATTGATGGTAACCTGCTATCCGGTAAAATTGCATACATTTGGAGTGTTCAGTGGCCTAATTGCACGTTTTTGGTGTATTTAGTGGTCTAATTGCACTTCTTTTTCGTTCAGTGGCCTAATTGCATTTTCATGTTACGTTCAGTGGCCAATTTGAACCTTATTCCTAAAAATTATGAATATGTAACCGTGTCCACCTTACAATGTGGGCATATTTCCACAGCATAATTTGCCGTTTACCTAAGGATTATCCATTTAGAGCCCCTTCATTTCGTTTCTGTGATTTTAAAATAGAACTATGGAGAAATATGTTTAAAAGATATCTTTCGGTGGTAGTAAATCAAACTGGGTGAAAGAGGTAAACGAGAGTCAATATTGAAATTACAAAATTGACCCTTTATTTAATACTAATTTGACGGATTAACAAACATAAGAATATAGTGAGGAAAATCATAAAAGTCTGGAATTACATTAAGTCATCAAAATCGTTTAGGATGAAATTGAAAAAAAAATTCACTATAGTTGAAGACTATTTTTGATATTAAGTCTATTTTTCATATCCTCAAGTCTCAAATGTTATCTTGAAGCCAATTGAAGCACACTCATTTCAATTACCAAGTTACCAACTAGCTAGCAAAAACTATTTATTTTGCCACAATGAGGAAGTTAAAGTCTTCGTACTCATCACGGGTACTCATAACCCACCCCACATTTCCATAACTCCGATCCTTTACGTAACAACAAAGGGAAAAATAAATAAATAAAAACATCCTACGCGGACAGGCCGGGGCAGAAAGTCCGTGTCTTCCCCCACCGAGATTAATTTACTGATTTTTATTTGATTTAATAATATTATTTTTAATAAATTTGATTTAATAAATTTATTAATATCCTACCCATTATTTTTAATAAATTTGATTTAATAATACTATACCTTAATTATAAAAATTTTACCTAATAGTTTTAGTATTAAATGTCATACAATAATTACCATAAACAATGATTAATAATTGGCAAATTCTATTAGGCAATAAAAATTACAATTATAAAATCTTTGGTAATATGTACACGTTATTTTTAATTATTTTGATTTAATAATATTATTATATCTTATTTATAAAAATTTGAAATAATACTTTTAGTACTACTAGTATTTTCGCTTGTGTGATGCACGGGATGGATTTGTTATAATATATTAAAAATATTTAGATTGATATATAATTATTTAAATTAGAACATCAAATGCAATTGAAGATATGTTTTGGATTATTTATGTGTTTTGATGTTATCATTGTTTGAATTTGAGCAAATAATTGCTCAAATTAATAGCTAATGTGTAGATGTACGCATGCGATGCTGTAACTTTGGAGATTTTATTTATCATTATTTAGTATTTTTTTATATATATAAATTAGGCAAATGTGTTCGTTCTATAGCAACTCAGTTATAGAAATGAATTGCTATCTTAATTCATTTGTATGAAATATATATATATATATATATATATATATATATATATATATATATATATATATATATATATATTTGTCTAGATATATAGCAATTTTGTCATTTAAAAAAAAATATATAATATCAACGATTGTATTTACACATTATTGAAACCTGTTTGTAGATGACATTGGTTGTAGCAACGCAATCCTGTCCATCATCGTATAGAGCTAACACCTTCAGTCCATCAGGATAGGTGACTCGGGTGAAAATATATAATGGTAGAGTATTAGTCAATTAACGATCCTTTTATATTTTAAGTCAATTAGTAAAATCAAATTCATTTTCAGCACATTATTCTTTTATATTTTTAGTCAATTAGAATATCATATGTAGTGATATTTTTACTTAATTTTCATTCAATTTTTAATTGATGATGTATAATATTATTATTGAAATATTTACGTTTTATTTTTAATCTATCTTTAATATTGTTTAAAATATGAATTTACTATTTATGATGTAGAATTATTATTGAAATATTTTCGTCAAATTTTAGTTTCCGTTCCATTTTTAATTAAAATGCAATGATCTAACCACTTTTTTTTTTTTTCATATTAATCAAGTATGAATCATTTTTTATTTGCAGTCAACTATTAGTATTCATTTCTTTTTATATTTTCAGTCAATTTGTAATGACATATTCATTTTTAGCTAATTATTCTTTTTTTTTTTCATTCAATTAGTCAATTAGAATATCAGATGCAGTGATATTTTTACCTAATTTTCGTTCAATTTTTAATTGATGATGTAGAATATTATTATTGAAATATTTCGGTTTCATTTTTAATTTTTGTTGCATTTTTAATTTAACTTTACTATTGTTTAAAATATGCATTTACTATTGATGATGTAGAATATTATTATTTAAATATTTCCTTTTCATTTTTAATTTACTTTTACTTGATGATATAGAATATTATTATTAAAATATTTTCGTTCTATTTTTAATTTCTATTTCATTGTTTATGACATAATTGTGATTTGATGTATTATACTGTATAATATTATTGTGAAAAATTAAAATGCAATGAACTGACCATTTCTTTTTTCATTTTAGTCAATTATGGATCATTTTTATTTTCAGTCAATTATTAATATTTATTTCCTTTTTCTATTAACCTAACTTCAATTCCTTTTTTTCATTTTTAATGTTCAGTAAATTATTAATATTCATTTCTTTTTCCAATTTACCTAATTTCCATTCAATTTTTAATTGATGATGTAGAATATTATTGTGAAATATTTATGTTCCTTTTTTCATTATTTTTTTAATTTACCTTTACTATTTACTATTGTTTGAACATGAAATCAAGTAAAATGGGATTTTGTTTTTAATTATATATATATATATATATATATATATATATATATATATATATATATATATATGAATTGGTTATATTATAAATTGTTTAAATTTGTTATATAAGGTATTATGTTACATGAGAGCATTGAATATGGAAACAATATTACCAAGATTTTAGTTGATTTTTAATTTACATTTGCATACAAAATAAGTTGTATTAAATTAGTTGGTGATAAACATCTAAAAATTCTACAAGGTAATACCATACATAATATTACCAATTATGCTATTATGTTATTACCTAATTAATTAATGTCTTTTCTACACGGTATTATAAATACATAAAAAATACGAAGAATTTGTAAACAATAATGTTACCAAAAATATTATTATATTATAGAATATAACTAATATATCTGGAAGTAAAATTTGAGCTATAAGATCATATAGGGCAATCTTTGATCCTAAATCAATAAATAATTAGTTATATACACATTTAGCAGTACCAATGTTATTACTAATACTTTATATATATCAGCAGTATTGAACCTTTAATGTGAGATAAGAAAGAAATAATCAGTTAAATGATGCCTTTATTTGGATGCACTAAGACTATTACAATGCTCCATCACTTTGCAAACATGTACAACTTTGACTTTATTTTATACTTTAAATTATACTTTGTTTATCCTTTAGATTTTAATGTATTATTTTAAGTTAATTTATTTATTAACATTAAAAAAAATACATTTTAAGTGTGACAATTTATACTAATAAATCATTTTAAAAAGTGGCAAAAGATGATTTTCTAATTTGATGCCACTGCATCAATTTAAAAAAAAAAAAAATTATTGCTATTGTTTACCTTAATCATCTCATAAATATCCATAATTTTTATTAGAGGGGTCTAATCAACACATAAATTGAAAACAAAAATGACAATCATAAACAAAATATGTACAAAAATAAATGATAAACACACTATGATAATGATTAAGACATAATAAATTTACCTTTCCAGAAAATCACAGAACTCTGAAAATCCTGATTGAAAAAGAGATGTGTATCAAGAGTTACATATCTTGACATAATTGGCTAATAAAAAAGAACATTCATTACTTGTCCTTATTCAAACACTTTCAAATATAAAAAAATAAAAAAAAATAAAAAAAATAAAAAAATTAAAACACTTGTGTTTAGATTAACTCTTCGTATCATTCTTAACTCTAAACAATTGCAT